GCTATAGTTCAATTCACTCTCGTTTAAAGTTCGTGATGCATATGATATTGCTCGGTCTGATCCTATTGTTCCTTGGGATAATATGGCTCCCAATGCAACGTTAGATGCGTCAGTGGTCAAAATGAACTCCTTGGTAAAGTCAGGGTATACTAAGATCGGGTCGTTAGTCAAGAGTCTCTTACATTGTTCGTGACAGTCAATGTAGTTCTTATTAAGTGTAATAGTCCTGCCTTTTTTCAAGCATTGTGTAAAGGGTTTGGTTATCCTGGCAAAGTCGGGTATGAATTTCCGATAATAACCGATGAGTCCAAGAAACTGCTTTATCTGTTTTGTAGTTTTGGGTATTGGGTATTTTTTTATAGCTTCAATTTTGTCTGGATTTGGTTTAATACCTTCACTGCTTATTATATGACCTAGAAATGCAGTCTCTAACTTTAAAAATTCAGATTTATCCAATTGAATTTTAAAGTTAGATTCCCGGAGTCTTTGGAATACTTTTTCCAGGTTATCCAAGTGTTCTTGGAGAGACGTACTAAATACGATAATATCGTCCATGTATACTAGACAAATAACGTTTTGAAGACCTTTCAATACGTTATCCATTACGCGCTGAAATGTCGATGGAGAATTTTTAAGTCCCATGGGCATACGTAAAAATTCGAAATGCCCATGTTCAACGTTGAATGCAGTTTTGTGGATATCGTCGGGATTCATTTCCACTTGATAAAACCCACTGGCCAAATCTAATGTGGTAAAATACTGGCATTTACCCAACTTGTCTAGGACGTCAGTTATATTCGGAATTGGATATTTGTCGTCGATTGTCTTTTCGTTTAACTTTCGGAAATCTATTACTAGCCTCCATTTCTGTTTCCCTGAAGCGTCAACCTTCTTTGGAACTACCCAAATGGGAGAACTCCAGGCAGAATCGGATGGTCTTATTATATTTTGTTCCAGCATCTTTGTTATTTGATCGCTGACTTCTTGTCGATGTACAAAGGGGTATCTATAACTTTTTGTATAGATAGGTACCTCATCTACGGTTCTTATATGGTGTTTAACTTTATTAGTGAACGACAGAGGTTCACCTTCAATGTAAAAGACATCCGCATACCGCGAGCAGAGATTTTTTAAATTAATTTTTTCCTCCTCATTAAGATGATCTGTCCGCAACTGAGATAAAACTTGGTGAATACGAGAGTTATCGATTGTTTGTTCGATATTCATACATTCAATATTAAAATTGTCTGCCTCGACATGACGATCTAATGATAAAATGATGTCGTTATGCGATGTATTTTCTACTTCTACTAATCCACGATTATTGGAAACGTTAGTTATGCATTCATTTATATTACAACGATCAAGTTTTTGGTGAGGGATATGTACATCTCCATCAGTGGCATTTATAGGTAACCGAATTAGTTTTGTGGACTTAGCTGGTATAATGTCCTCAAATAAATTGACGTTTCGAGAGTTAAACATAGTTATGGGATTCGTTGCGTTATCTGTTATTAATAAATTGTCTTTCAAGTCAATCTTCGTGTTCCATTTACTCAGTAAGTCCAACCCAATAAGTCCATCGAAGAATTTGTGAAAGTCGAAAATGAACAGTTTAATGTCATTAGGATCGTTAAATTCTTGAAAAGCTGGTATATTGATTGAATAGTCACTTCTACTTGTAGTGTGGGCGTTGGTAACCTCGAAGGGCTCATAATTAACAGGGACATTTGAGTAATACTTTTCTACTGCTGAGGGACTGATAAACGACTGATTGGCTCCAGTGTCGATCAAAAAATTTAGTCGAGGGTTTGATAATTTTATATAAGGTAGTTGACGCTGAGTTTGTAAGTTTACTTCTATTTTGAGGGTTTTGATGGTAGGTCCGAATGAAAATCCTGGTGTGCGGTACTAGTAGAGGGTTGAGGATTGTCGCTATTGTCAGGTAACTCGCTCACTTTGCAGTATGAACCAAATTGTTCATATTCATATCCGTCGGGGAAGTTATAGTCAGAATAGTTAGTATAGTCGGATTGGTCACAGTCGATATTGTACGTGTAGTACTCGTTATCTGGGTAGTAATTATCATAGTCATACTCGTTACAACTATTAAAATTCATTTCGCGGGTCTTAAAGTAGTTGGATGGTGGTGGGTTCCCGGATTTATTCCAATCATGACCCTTATATGGTTGGTTCATTGGTTTGGATACGAAAGGGGTAACTCCACTCATCGGCTGAGGGCCTGACGTTTGATGACGCGGTTGAATTTTGAATAGGTTACTATTAGTATTATAATTAGGCGGTGTTGCGCGGAATATCTGTTGAGTACGCGTAGCCATATTAGGTGCATTAGGTGCACGCTGAGGGCCAGGTGGTTGGAAATTAGGCCTCCAACTATTTTGCGATAGTAACGGGCGCTGCCAGTTTGGCGTATGTAGTGGATTGAAATGAAATGGTCTCTGCATATGTGTGAAACCTGCAGGATTATGCGGTAATTTAGGCACATGAGCGTTTGGAAGTGGCTTTTTAAAGTGTGTGTTATCGGTACGACCTTGTAGATACATTACGTTAATCTCTTCCTGGACAAATTCCAAAGCCTTTTCAATACTATCCGGGCGCATACACCGTATGCGCGAACCAAGCGGTTCCTTAAGCCCACGTACAAACGCTTGCATTGTTAATTTCCCATATAACGTGCGCTTCGCCTCTATAGTAGTGGGTAAAGTTTCATGCAATGAAATATAAGTCATAATGGTGCTAAGCAATGACTGACAATGATCGTAATATTCCTGCGGTGTACTATTACCTTGATTCGATACTAAGAGGTCGTTGTATAGGGCCGTCTCGTCCCTTTGGTCAGCAAAACTATTAATTAAGGTGTTTCTTATTCCTGCCCAGCTGTCCGGAATGCCATTTGAGTTAATTCGACAAGCTGCGGGCCCCTTGATTTTATTTAATATCCCGTTTATTACGCATAAATTTCCTAATTCACTACCAGGAACGTTACTAAGATAAGTAGCAGCTATTTGATCGCATAGTTTAATAAATCTAGTGAGAACGTTGGGATTCCCATCAAACTCAGGAACTAGGCGCAGAGCCTTATGGATTGTATCGGGATCGTGCACCATATTGGGTTCCTCGAATAAAATATCTAAACCTAACTCAATATGCCTATTTAAGTCTAACTCTAATTGCCTACGGTTCGGTCTACGCGATGTAGACACACGCGGTCCTAAATTCCTAGGATGGAAAATTTTGAAGGATGTAGGCACAGGAGTACACAGGAAGCAACAAAGGAAGTAATTCAAATGTACTCACATAAACTTCATATCGGTCTCTGGGGTCGATATCTGGATCCCGTTCTCTCCCGGCAGCAATCCTTAGGTTCAGGATACTCGATAAGGCTTGATAGCTTGATTAGCCGCGATCGCTCACGCACGATAGCGATAGAATATCGATATAAGAATACCCTAGCTAACCTCGAGTATCCTACCGACTGCGCCAATTACGAAGGCTGCCGCCGGAGGATATAATTAAACCCAAATTAAGATAAAAAAAGGGTTTATTCGAAGTAAAACTTATTACATAAAGTCTTAATAACTAGCTAAACCTATTGCTTCGATCGATGCTGTATCTGAAGTGCGCTTTCGGGCGCGTTGCGCTGGCCTTCTTAGCGTGTTGCTGATTCGGCGCCTTTGCTTCGTTCCTCTCGAATTTGCGCAATAACTTATGTATTACAATTTATTGAGGCTATGCTTTGTCAGCGGTGTTCTTAAACTGCACCGATGCGCTGGCCTTCCTGGCGTTTTGTTAATTTGGTGATTTTGCCTCGTGTCTCGAATTTGTGCACTTAACTGATTATAAATCTATAAATTATTGAGGGTGTGCTTCGTCAGCGGTGTACCTAAATTGCACTACATAACAAAACAGAGGTACATAGGTACTGCATATCCCTTATGGGATTTCTTCCTGCAGCCCTGCGAAAGGAGAAATAAATACAACATATGACACAGTGTGTAACAACAAAAAAAAAAACAAACAAGAAGAAGACAATGAAAACTTAAACTGATAATTAAAATTAGACTAACCAAAATAATACAATAAAAACATACAAAATAAATATAAATAAGTACCTATTTATACATATAGGTCCAGCATATACATACAATATGTAAATAATATTTAAATAATAATAAGTATTGAATTTTGTGAATAAAACATTGGGACAATTTAAAAAAAAAATTGGTAAGTACCCTATTAATTAAGTACTAGTATCAGAAAATATTTATCAAGAAATGAGAAGAAAAATCGATGGTGGCTCCGTTTCTTTGGTCCCAAATCTAGAAATGATTTAAAGCAATTATTAAAATCTATTGTCACCTATTGTACCTACATTTGATTTGTGAATTTTTTATTCATGTTCATGTCACTGTATTTTAATTTATTTGTTATTTACTTATTTAAAAAAAAAAACTAACAACTAATAAATACAAATTTTATCATAAAAATTAAGATTTTTTCCACATGAAATGTAAAGAAATCATTACGTTTACGAGGGTTGGTTAGCAATTTATAAAGTTCGTTTTTCAGTTCTTTAGAATTATGATGCTAGTTAATGAATGGCATATGCATAGAATAATTAAATTAGTAATAAATGCAGTATACGTACATACATCATCATCATATCAGCCACAGGGCGTCCACTGCTGAACATAGACCTTCCCCAATGACTTCCAGATACATGCGTATGCAAATTAAAATTATTTAATTAACTGGCCAAGTCCGCCTCAAAGATTCCGATAACTTTATTCAAGCCTAGTTTGTATGTGTAACACTGAAACAGCTTAATCAGAGATTAAATAATAACGTTTAACACTCCTAAACCATCTTTTAAATAAAAATACCGTTAAAAGTTACCCATCTTAGCATAAGAACATTTGTACAAATGTGTTAAAAGTACAAACGATACGAAATAACTAAAAGTAGTTTGCATATTAAGAATGGCGGAGGAGGACAATATCAGGATGAGGGTGTATTTTTACCATCATTATTTAAAGAGCCAACTGACTTGTAAGTGTGGGAGAGCCATGCTTCGGCACGAACGGGCTGGCTCGACCGGAGTGATACCACGGCCTCACAGAAACCCGACGTTACCGGAGGCCCAATTACCCTTCCCTTTCCCAATCTCTGAATCCCCAACGATCCTTAAACTCCTAATTCCCAAAAGGCCGGTAACGCACTTGTAACGCCTCTGGTGTTCCAGGTATCCATGGGTGACGCCGATTGCTTACCACCAGGTGATCCGTTTACTCGTTTACCGGCTTAGGCCATAAAAAAAAAAACTATTGCGTTCGATTCCCGCATGAAATAAAGCGTTATTCTGCGGACACAGACACAGAGATAAAAATATGAATACATAATTATTATATCCTATATTTTTCTGTCTGCGTCTGAGTGAGATATGCATGTAAATTTGTATGTCAGTAATCAAAATACAATCACGACGTATGTATAGAAAAACAGGTTTTTTCGAAAAGGAAAAAAGAAGATCTAGAATAGATAAACAATGCTAGATTAGTGATGTAGAAACATATTGTCCGGGTCAATAAAATGAAGACAGCCAACCCCACCTATGTACTCTTATTGCATAAAGTTAAATAAATAAATAAAAAATAAAAATGAATGTCTCATCACACCACATCAACATCAATAGCCTTTGAGTGCACACTGCTCATTAAAGGCTTCTTCTTACACGGAGAAGCTTTGAGCATTAATCACCACGCTTGCTCATTGCGGGCTGGCGATTTCAAACTCATAATTAGAAATTAACTCGTCGAGTACCGTCACTATAGACACAATTATAAAACAATAGGTTGCGGTCACCGGTGACCGCTTGGTGACACCAAGCCTAGTAGTTTTTTCCTTTACCGTTTGTCGATGGTGTCTAAATAATCTTAGAAAGTATATGTACTTTGACAGAACTCAGAAAAAGTCACATTGGTACTTTGCTGTTGGTAGGTTTCGAACCCGTACTCATGTATGTCCCATCCCAGAATAACGGAAACTATGTGTTATATCTTGGGACTCTCTATATGTTAAACCACTGAACCCATTTGGGTGACATTTGGTACAACGATAGTTTTAAGCCGGAGAAAGGACGTATGATAGATTTTTATCACGGAAATCTCATGGGAGCGGGAACTGTACCTTAAAATCGCACCTACTTGAAATTCGGTTCAAAGATAGTTTGAGACAGTGGGACTAGAAAGAACGTATGATTGTTCTATTCGTGTTAAATTCCTCGAGGACGGAAAATATGCCTTAAAATACCGGGACTATCTATTTTTTTAAACCACCAAACCTACATATTTGTTTGAAATGCAGACGACGCAGATTCACGCAGAGCAAGTCGCGGGGTAAAACCTTACGACCTTACGACTTCGTCTGCTAGCTATTATTAGTAATAAATATTAATTAAGTAGGTATTCGATATACAAGACCAGTTACTAGAACAAAATTTCTTATTATTTCGTCTCTACATAAATAGGCCTGTACTTGTAGGAGAGCGCAGATAGTTGCCAATCTCAGCATGTCGGTGATCGCATCCATTTTAATCTTTTGCATTGTGTTTATATTGTGGTTCTGGTTAAGGCCGGGAAGCCCAAATGCGCCCCCGTGTTATCCTGGTGCATTGCCATTCATAGGCCACGGACATCAAATTTTTGGAAATCGTAAACGTAAGTGAATATGGTATAATTATTGAAGTTACGGGTAATATTGTGTATTCATTTGGATATATTCCTGATAAAACAATAACCACCTATTATTGATATGTGTAGTTACTTTTGTGTGATATTTTGTTATACTTTCACTCATTTTTATATTATTTTCTCAACGATAACGGAACAAATACAAAAATTGATTCCAAAATAAAAAAATCATATCTTTTATACTTACTTACAACTTATAGAAATGGAAAAAAATAACAACAGGTGGAGTTAACAATGAGCCAATTCCAAGTCCTCACGTTTAGGATTTTGATTACTAATTTAATGGTATATAATGATAACATTTAATCTTTATACAAGATTAAAAATACATATATTCTGTGTAAATCAATCATCAAATCATTATTATTTATTTTGTTTTCTAATTTATGGCGCCGACTTCTAATCTGTCAGCGGGTGGATAACCTATCAGTATTATTAATGTTTATTTTTTGCTTTTACCATAGATTTTACTTTTAGACGCAGTATTTTGTATACTTTTTCATTAAGATAACTTAGTAAACAAGTTTTAGTTTTAATGCGTCACAAAATTATTATTATATATTATTATGCGTCACATAATTGTTCTCATTATTTATGGGTTAATGAGTTAAAGATTGGTGATTTAAAATTATGCATTACTAAGATTTTCAGCAATAGTCTCTAATCGTACTTGAATATATCAAGTAATTATACATAAGGATATTGTCTGACTCCTATTAGGTACACATAGGACCCGTAACGTAATTGATTAAAGTGAGTTTTAGGGCTTTGTAAGGGTGGATAATCATCGAATGTCCCGCTCAAGGGGGCATCAGACTGACTAAAAACCACCCCAATTCTACTTCTGCACGTTGAGCCGGAGCCCCGGCATTCCTTTAAGTCCTCCGCAGCGTCGTATCGGCATCAGCCGTATTGAGCTCCATCCGTGGTGATCTGATGGCATTTTGGCGCGTTCGGAACGCGACGCGTACACTCGGGTCTGACTGTGGTCAGGCGGCTAGACACCCGTGCTCGCCGTCCGCAGGCCCGTACTTACGGTGGCTGGAGATCGTCCCGCGATCCTCGATGCCCGGAGTATCCTTCGCGATGGTTGGGTTGCAACGCTTCGCAACCTTACGCGCCACGCTTAGGGATACTGTTTAAATAACCGAACACTTTCGTCAAATGACGAATGTAAGACGCTTGCATCTTACGTAGAAACAATCAAAACTTTGTCGTCGTCAACAACAGCATCATGTGTACCTACTAACAAATATGCATTTACCTTCTTCAGTTAAAGGATACATGCATTTGTTAAATGATACGTCGTGAACAAATTTAAACACGCCTTTCCATTCAAAATGACTTGGAGATTTTAAGACGTTACAAATGTTAAGGTACGGTTACACATACCTACTCTTAAATAGTATGCTAAAATGTATTATATTGAGCATCCTCAATAATGTTTAAAAATCGAACGCCTTGTCGATTCTCAAGCAAGCCTGAAAAAAACAGCAACATTTCGACACACATGCTATTAGATGACAATGACAAAGACAAGTGTTTGAAATTAGCATGTTTTATGTTAAGCAAGTTTTTTCCTGCCCATCCATTAACATCGTGAACTTGTTGCTTGTGTACAATAATGTTTGGTATGCAATGGTATCCTTTCTTTTCACATACCTAATTATCTTTGTCCAAATGTACTTCGGCATAACAATTTTGGCATAATAATACTTGGGCATAATTTTAATGTTGGCATAATTATTTTAAAGACTAATTGTTTTTAGCATTAGCATAACGGTAGTAGGCCAAACCAATTTACTATAGTTTCTGGAAGAATGAAATTGTTAGTAAAAGTTTAAATGCAACAAATTTTCGTAACCGTGAAGAATTGCTGCAAAGCCGACTCCACGTAATCTTATTCATACCCCTAGAGTGTAATTTAAAATCGTGCGTGGGGCTGCCGAAGGCCTGCTGCACCGGAGCGCTTTTTATAGGGATTTAAAACCACTAACGTTCATAACTGTTCTATTGAGAACATATATGCAGAATCAGGCTAGATAGTAGCCAAAAGTCGGCCCATAAAACTCAAAAAAAAAAAAATATTTGAAAAAAATATAATGTTAATAAATGCACTAACTGCAAATTTTCTGCGATATGATGGTTCTGCTTTTCAATTATTAAGGACATAACATTTATGCTAACGATGATTCGGACTAACAAAATTATGATTTTCGAATTTATGATAATGAGTGCATGCCAATCAATTTTCTGCCAAATGAAGATTATGCTATGCGTTGTTATGCAAAATAATATTGGCATATGTGAGCTCAATAACCGTTGGTGAAACTGTATTAAAATGTATTCAGTAGTTTCTGAGATTTTATCAAGATTTTACTAGCAGTTCCCCGTGACCTCGTCCGCGTTTAATAATAGCTCTGGTAGATATTTTTTATTTGTCTTTTCCATGGATAATTCCAATGCTGTGGAACAAATCCCATCAAAATAGATTAAGTACCTAAGACCATTTTCGTAATTAAAAAAAAAAATAATCCCACAATGGTTTTGTCGATATACATATTATAGCATCCGTTCCGTGAGGTTTTAATAATAATAAACTATTCTGTCTTTTCCAGGGTTACCAACTATTTTTGTACTGAATTCCAATCAAATAGATACAGCGGTTGAAAACTGTCAGGCGTCCTTTTCCGGGTCTCAAACTATCTTTGTACCGAAGTCCACTCAATTAAGTTTAATGGTTTAAAAGATAGCTAGAGATCAAGAAATTTAAAGCAGTTCCCGTCATAAATCTTTTCCCAGGTCTTAAATTGTCGTTGAACCGAATTTCAATCAAATAGGTTCAGTGGTTTAAAGATAGGACCCCGGGATTTAGTACATACTTCCTAGTATTCTGGGATTTCGGGGTTATTACTCGTATGGTTACAATGTGGCCTGATTTCTACCGTTGCGATGCTACTAATTTACTATTATTTAAAGGAGACTGGAAACCTTTCATAGTAAATTTGGTCTCAACGGACTAAAATGTAATACTATGGATTTCCAACTTCGATCAACAATAGCAACTAGATAAAGGGTTACGTACAAAATCAAGCTCCAGTTCTGTCCGTGTGAATAATAATAGTAAAAAAATAACAAACAGAGAAAAATGTTTTAAAATAGTTTTAAGTTCAACCTAATAACAACCATGGCACCTAATAATATAGTCATAAATCGTCAAAATATTATCTAATACTTACGACCATTCGTCACATAAGACAAGAAAAGTATTTTCTTACTCCTGTCATGTAGAAATTAAAAGACATAAGTTATACAATATCTAGTTTGAATTCAACCTTAAGGTCGAACAAATAAAGATAATTTTTCCATTATTGTCTTGCGATCTATATCGTTTTGTTTTGTTTCGTTTTGCTTCTTCAAATTTCGAATTTCGCTACAGGAGGTATGTATGGAGTCGCGTTGGACACTAAAATAATTTTATAATATGAAAATTAAGATTTCGGGATCTTAGTATACATCACTAATTTTTATTAGCGGTACGTTTTTGTGTATGATATGTTTATTTACTTTATCATTAAAAGTCTAAGTCTAAGTCAAAATCATTTATTTCAGTTAGACCAGGAAGGCACTTTTGAACGTCAACAATATAAATTTAAAAGTGAAGCTATTTGCTCATTCCAAGGTGTAGATTCCTATGGAGAAGAACGAGCAAGAAACAATACAATTTTATTTTTCAATACAAATCGACTCGATGCATCCACTGTTCTGTTTAAACAAATGTTGGCGAGGCTTGGCCAAGGAATCGCCAACACACGCACAAACATTGGTGGCGTTGGTTTATAATTGGTAATTTTGTCTAATTTGATATTATTTACTAGTTCAAAAGCTTAAAATATAACTTATACTTTATGTACTTATCAAAAGTAAGACACTCCGGCCGTTATACTGCTTTTTCGGTTATAATTTTTCCACGCACTGCGGCATCGTGAGACGTCAGAACGTTGGCCGTGTTTGGAGCATACTAAACAAAATAAGAGCTCACTTCTCAAGTGAGCTCTTATTTGGCGAGACGATTTTCTTGCGCCGACCCGATATCTAGTTGTTATTGTTGATCGAAGATTTCCAAGAACTAATATTGGCGATGCAAAGATTCTAACTAGCGCCTCTAGTGTCAAAATTGTGAATCTGTCTAAGAACGACACTGATGGTTTCCGTATACAATTTACGTCACAGAAAAATTTATTTATTAAATATAAATCAGATTTATGTGATACATTGTATATAAAAATTTAAGTAAATTGAAAAAATAATCAAATTTTATAATAATTATTTAATTAATATCCTTCCATCATTAAACTCGCAATTATTTAAGATTCCTGATACATTTACAATGTTTAGTGCAGTTAAGTTGATGCGCTACCACCATCAATCAGATGCGCTTATTTCAGTGATTAGGCTAGAAGAAGTTGTTCTAAAACGTCGCTGTATTGTTTTTTTATATAGAGAGTACGTCAATATTGTTCATTTTAAACATTTACATTTTTCAATCACAGTCTCAGCACAGTCTAATATTATTCTTGTATATTTTTAGAATGATTTAAGTAAGTAATAAGTAAAGTACTACGTATCATTTCGGTATCAGGCCAAGGAATAATAACTTTGAGTACTCGACTCTGCATGGGGCACATATTAATAAAATAATTATAACATGTCTGCCGGGGCTCCGGCTCGACGTGCAGGAGAAGGAACGGGGTGGTTTTTAGTCAGTAAGAGTCTGACAATCATCGAATGACTGCTCCCGCCTGGGTGAGGCGGGAGAAGTCATTCGATGATTTTCCCCCCTTAAAAAAAATATACCCAACAAAACACCAATAGCTGTAAATGACATATTTTGTTTAATTATTACTATTGTCAAAATAACTCTGTCTCTCACAGATAACATTTTATTGTTTGTTGGAGCATCTAAGGCCAACTCACTAACACAAGTCACCAATGTTTCTAAAAGTTCAATTGAATGTATACCCGTAAAAGTAAATCAATACATATCACTCTTGAGTAAATCTGAGAGAGTTAATTGCTTTACAGCTGATCTATCCTCTTTCCATATATTTTTATCTTTTGAAACACCGGCTCCCGGTATAAAACACATTATACCCGCAACTTTCAACAAACAAGAGGATATAGGAATAAAATTTATTTGATTCATAATTTTGTCTTTTGGAAATAAATTAACACTTATTTCCGAATCTCCATAAGTATTACATTGAGGAACGCAACATTATTTTATGTTTCTGCTTTCATTATAAACAGGTTTCTGTATGTGATCGTGATCCATTTGATTATGTTTAAACTTATTAACCTCAACTCGATAGCAAAGTGTCGTTCTTAGACAACTGCTAAATTTCGCCGCTAGAGGCGCGCTGATAATCTTTGCATCGCCAATTAGTATTCAGCCAAGTGTACTTAGTTTTTTTAATATGTAAAGAATACGATTTCAATACGATTTAGACTTTACATTATGAAAATAATTTGTCTGTCAATGATCTGAGTATGTTTTATATTATTCATGGAATCATGAATTTATGTGTCACAGTTAAAGACCTATTCATCTAAGATTGGCTCTGCAAACTCACTTGTCAAAAAATATATATATACAGTCGAATTTTTTTTTTTTAGCGGGGAATATCATCAAATGACTGCTCCCGCCTGGGTGAGGCGGGCGGGAGTGTCAGACTCTTACTGACTAAAAACAATCCTGTTCCTTCTCCTGCACGTCGAGTCGGAACCCCGGTTACCCGTTAGGTTCTCCGCGACTCCGAATCGGCATCGGCCGTATTGGGCCCCATCTGTGGTGGTCTGATGGCTCTTTGAGGGCCGCTGTACGCTCGGGTCTGTTTCTGGTCAGACGGGGAGCCACCCTTGCTCGCCGTCCGCAGTCCCGCACTTACGGTGGCCGGAGATCGTCCCGCGATCCCCGACGCCCGGTGTGTCCTTCGCGATGGCTGGGTTGCGAGGAGGCAGCACTTTGCTGCCTCACGCGTTCCGCCTCCTCCTTAGCTAGCATGACTGCTTCGCAAAAGGAGGAGACGGCATCCCAGTCCCCAAAAGTAGCCTATGTAGTAACATAGGCTACTTTTGTTTCGGAAATTCTAAGGAGTACCTTAGGACATCAGCTGACTGCCATTAAAAGTAAAACACTTGGAAAGTCTTGGTTAATAATATAAATATGTGCGTGGCTGTTCGTTTTGTTACAAGTTGACGTGATTTTTTTATTGAGTGGAGATAGTTGAAAGTAGTTGTAGTAGTTTATTTATTTTTGACCTGCAAAACATCGTACACCAAAATTTTTTACACATAACATAAAATCACGCCTTTTATCCCCGAAGGGGTAGGCAGAGGTGCACATTATGCCACTGTACAATGTAACACTCACTTTTTCACTATTTATGTTATGAGTCCCATGTAATAGGGGGTGAGCGTATTGCCATTTACCGGGCACAATTCCAGACTCCGTGCTACTTCTTTTTTAAATCCAGTAATACTTTGCCCGACCCAGGAATCAAACCCGAGACCCCTTGCCCGGCAGTCACACTTGCGACCACTCGGCCAACGAGGCAGTTTTTAGTCAGGCAATTTTTTAATCTTGTGTAAACCTGCTTTCAATACTTTAAAAGAGCGTGAGAGAAATCGTGGGCTCGTCCATGAATAAAATGTATTCAGTTCATTGAATTCATATTTTTTCTTTAAAATCCCTGATTCTGATGCAGTTAAATACTATTATTGGTCCTTAAGAACAGTTTTCTGTTGTTATTCAAAGGCTTAATTAAGTAATAAAAGGAGTGTTTTGATAGTTTTTCACACATCATACATTATAGAAATTTTCCCTCGGTTTCCTTTTTTTATCAGAATGTAGAATTTTTCAAATTGGTCCAGAAGATGCAATTCAAACAAATAAAAAATTTAATCTTTTATCTTTATACTATTAGTATCGAACAACGTTTTTTTTCGTAATAATTCATATTAAGTTTAAAGGCATCGTATCGTTTTAATTACTCAGACATGTTGTTTTTTCAGATCTATGGAGATACTTAGAAAAAATATTTCAATACTCTTTGGAGAAGGGTGGTGTTCTTGAACTCTGGCTTGCAACACACTCTGTTTATGGTAAATATATATTTTTTAACAACGCTTTAGGCCTGTCTTATGATACACATGGGTACAAATCAAGTTATATGTACACTGTGCTGTGTTTAGCTGTGTGTCAAAAAAAAATATTTGTTATAGAAGTGTGTTGCGGACGACGGGGGAAACTATTGTATTATTTTACCGCTTTCTGTTGTAGTTTTAACTGACCCTGATGAAATTCTAACAGTTTCAAATACCTGCTTGAACAAAGCGTACTTTTATGAGTTTGGAAAAGAATATTTCAAAAATGGATTGATCACTTCTGAAGGTAAGTTTCTTCAATGACATGCAATCTGCTAATGCTACATAGATTGTTGCCGAAGTCAGTGACGCATTAATTTTATTTAATACAAATCTTTCAAAAGAAATGAATGATATTAATCGTTTTTATTTAGACTCTAATAATATAAACTGTGATCATAATAATAATTAACTACATAAATGTTCTTGTGTTAAATTGGATAATCGTTTGAGTTGTTTTGCTATCATCTTTTATTCCAGCATCAATTTGGAGGAATCATCGCAAACTTCTAGATGTGGCCTTCACTCAGAAAGTTCTGGATACATTTGTTGATGAAATGAATGCACAGACTCGGGTCTTAGTCACTAATTTAAATGCTCAAGTTGGTAAAGGACCATTCGACGTGCGCCATTACTTGATAAATTACACGTTGAAGACTGTCAGTCGTAAGTATTTAGAGCTCTTAGATTACTTGGCTATCTTCTACATTATCTCGTTAGTAAAATAGTTTCAGATTAACTGCGTTGTGGATCATACTCAAAATAAAACCAAAACAACGATCCGTTGCGTACCAGTTGGTTTATAAGACAACTATGCCGTCAATAGTAAATAACACCTTTTTACTGCTACTACTAAGAATTGTCACATTTTTTTTATATTGGGTGGCAAACGAGAATGCGGGTCACTTGATTGTAGGCCAAAGAGTATAATAAGTATAGGGGATAGTTGTAGGCAAACGGCATAGCCCATGGACACTCTCAACATTAGAGGAGTTATATGGTCGTTGCCATCCTTTTGGGGTTTGTGAATACTGAAAAAGACCTTAATGACTGCTTGGTTGGCAGTTACACTTACGATCAGTTGACTAATGCGACAGTGATAGTAAATAAAATGATAATAAATATAAATGTCAATCTTTCTCTTGCAGGGACATCGCTCGGACTAGAAGCGAAAGACCAGACTATGATAGATGAAACGTACGCTGATGCATTAGAAGATTTGATCAAAGTTTACTGTGAGAGAGCTCAGAAAATATGGCTGCACCTCTCTTGTATCTACGATAGAAGTTCTTTGAGAAAGAAACAGGACTATCTGCTGAAGATCATGAATAAGATTATAGATACTGTACGTATATTAAACAAGGGAAATTTAGAAGAATTGGTATTTTATAAATATCAATTGTTCTATTATAAATTGACAAAACAATTTGATAAAAATTATTTTACAGGTAATTGTAAGACGCAGATCAGATTTGAAGCTCAACAACTATGAATCTACACAATGTGACAAAGCGAAACCAGGTGATTTTTATGTCTTTAGAGTTAAAAACATGAAAGAGAGAAAGGAGCAACCAAAGATCTAATATCGTTCCAACTATGTAACAAGTAATTCATTAGTCTTGTGTATGAATTACATTTAGATTAAAAAATGACTTTCTGTCTAGTCAAACACCAGATACAACTTCATACATTGTGCTTGTATTGAAAAATTAGAGATTAATCTTACGAAACTAAATAATATTAGTAAATCACAATACACTGGTCGTCCCTTTCCAGGTAAATTCAAACCAGCCCTAGATCAAATATTACAGTTAGTTGATGAGCATCATGTCTTCAGTGATGAAGAGATTCGAGAACACCTGGATACGTTTGTGGCTGCTGCCTATGATACAACTTCTGGAACCCTTATTTATGTACTGTTAGCCATTGGATCACATCCAGAAATACAAGAGAAGATTTTAAAAGAGTGAGTAGTTTTACAATATGGTTGAGATTTGTTGAAGTTTGGTTGATTTATTTTGTAAATATTTTGGTTGCCAAGCGGTCAAGAAGGCTAACTCTGATCGACTCGACGTTGGTAAAGGAATTGCACAGTTGTCGCTTTGGTTGGGTAACTGGCTGCCGAACAACGTTTGTGTGATCCACAGATAGTTGTTCTGGGTCTGGGTGTAATGTGTATGTGAAAATATATGTTTGTAAACGCACCCACGACACGGGAGAAAATGCTAGTGTGGGAAAACCTTTTTTTTTTTGTTTACATTTTTTTTTATTTGTAACTATTATACAATTAAATATATACAATACAAGATAAAAATTAATATATACAACTTAAAATATATATAAAAACAAATTTAAAACTAAAATATTTACACCTTAATAAAATAATACTAATAAAAATAAATCATAAGGCATCAAAGAAAACATTTTCCTCATCGCTACCGTGAGGTAGGGTGCCCAAAAGACTGGCAGCATTGCCACGTTGAATGGCAATGCTTAACCTTTGCCCAAGGTAGTAGCCAGCCCTTCGATCACCTGAAGTGTCAACCATCCTCCTTACAATATCTTTGTAAAGAAGATGTGCACTTGGGCCCCACGGCCCTAAAGTTTCAACCCCAAACGGTTCGAAAGCATAATTGCCAATCAGGCTATTATACTTTCGCCGTTTGAGGTTCTCGGCAGCAGCAGCGGCAGCACCGGCTCGACACGCTGAGCTTGGAAGATGGGATGGCGCCAGAGTATCAACGCAAGTGGCGTCCCATACTAAAGCCCTACCCATCTTCCAAGGGAATAATGACATACCGTCGGGTCTCTTGCCATCGTCGCGTACCAAGCCATTAGGTTCTAAAGTAGCTGGCACGCCAACGGAGGCAAGAGCTCGACGAATTATGTCATTAATACTTGCGTGTCGAGCAAAACGGCCCGCACTACGGCTACATGACAAGCCGTGGTGTCCAAGGCTGTTGACATCTTCACCACAACGACAACGATGAGGTGAACAAAATGAAGCTCCAAGCCTTAAACAAATTGCAGCGCGGAACGTGGTGTCGTCCAACAAAGTACCTAGGTTAGACGAAGGTAAAGCAAGAAGCCATAACCCCGACTCCCACTCACCCACAGCCAAAAGGCGAGCTCTCTCTGCAGTTGAACAAGAGGAGTTCAAGAGATTTTCGCTCACTTTTCTGCAGAGCGGCTCGTCCCATTGTCTCTGGGAATGTGATTTGACGGGGGGGTCAATATTTGGGCAAGCGATTTTCCAAGCATTCACAGCTTCCACTAAACATGGTACATCAAAATTAACCAGTGATTGAGAAAGAATTTTCCTGGTTAATTCTTCAGTACCAAGGGCGGAAGATATGAAAGCCGGTAGGCTTACACTGGAAATTTTACGGACGCCAAGCCCACCCATGCGGACAGGCAGAGTGGCTTGAGTCCAAGCTCGGTCATCAAGAGCCACATTCAAAATTAAGGACAGGGTTCGCCTAATGATTTGGTCAATTTTTTCTAAAAGAAGGGGTGCAGACCAGAGGTGGGTCGAGCGCAAAAAATACATAAATTTGGGACCGAAGCAGCAAAACCGAATAATAGTATAAGCCGAATGCATTCTAATGTGATATAGTTTTTCTGAAACGACAGAAAAATTTTGAATTTTTTCTTCAATAAAACTTGGAAAAGAGTCCTCGAAGACGGGCGCACCTAGGAGGCGAAGTGAACATTTATCAACCACCGAGATATTAGGTGCAAAAGTATTAAATTTTGATAAGATCTGTCTGTCGGTAGAGTCATCTAAAAATATCTCACACTTGGAAAAATTTAGGTGTTATTTTAAATAACTTCAGAAGTTTTACGCAGGTAGCTAGAGTTTGAAATATAGGAAACGATGGACCAATCAAATGTCTTATCTTTTGAAAAAACACCCCTAAACCATCTATTAACTAATAGTTACTTAACATGGCATAGCAGTTAAACTAACTCCTAAAGCTTCTTTAAAATTTAGGAGAGGTTGATAACAATGGGTATTAGTGAGCTTATAGTCTGAGTACGACTTTGGGCTCTATTAGTTATCAAAAATCGAAATGCTTTATTTTATCCAGAAATTTCGACTTAAAACCACTTGCTTTTTAGTCATATTTATAACCTTGACTAATAATACGGAATAGAATAAAAATGAATTAACTGCATTAACTCATTATTTAGTTGAATGTTAATAACGGCGATTGTCGCGTAACAAGCCTTTGTTATGGTCGAAATTGTTCAAAGGTCAGATAGAGTCGTGTTACATTAAGTAATTATTGGTATTAATAGAATTATAGAATTTTTTAATAATAGACAAGATGACTTATGTTTATTTTAATGCCAGTTTGGTAGATTATTTCCAAACATAAGTCATGTAAATATTTTTTATTTCCTATTACTTATTTATTTTCTAACGAAAACAAATGCTACCGTCTATGTTACATTGATTTAAAATAACATGTGACGTCACTATTGTGTATGTTATATACTTACTTAAAAATACGTAGCCACCTCACACTCGTAAACTTTGATTCGTTTTATTTATGAATTGTTTTCTTATGCGACAAAATAAAAAAATATATGTCTAAGATTTTTTAATTAAATAAGTACGATTTACAAGACCTGTCAGTTATATAGGTACTAAATTTCTTATTATTTTGTCCCTACATAAATAGGCTCGTACTTGTACGAGAGCGCAGATAGTTGTCAACCTCAGCATGTCGGTGATCGCATCCATTTTAATCTTTTGCATTGTGTTTATATTGTGGTTCTGGTTAAGGCCCAGAAGCCCAAATGCGCCCCCGTGTTATCCTGGTGCATTGCCATTTATAGGCCATGGACATCAAATTTTTGGAAATCGTAAACGTAAGTGTATATGATATATTTTTAAGTTTGTTAAACATA